AACGACCGATTTTTTTGAACTCATTGGGTGTCATTATAACCGAAATGGGCATTTGTTTTGATCTGAAAATGCTTTTCCGGTTTTCAGAGACGATTTTCGATTTTTGGCCCCGAAATTCGGTTTTTGGCCCACCGTGTCCGGTGTAATTGAGTAATCGACTCGTGGTAACTTTCATCGCCTTTCCTATGCCACAAGCTTTCGAATGATGTCCGGTTTTGCATATTTGCGTGTAAAAATAACCCCATAAATCTATGTTGAAGTAAGGAAATGTTGAAATTTTGTAATATTTTGACATTTTTTTCGATTTCATTTCAAAATAGAGAAAAAACTAAAGACGCTATCCAAATTCTGAGCCCAGTTCCTTGAAGAGCATTCAATTTCCGTTCGGAAGGTACTATTTTAGTGCATTTTATCGGTTTACTGTGGCGTCCAGATTGAGTCACTGGAAAAACGGGCCCCCAGCCATTTCCATGACAACCTATGTGTTCAGTGCATGAAGAACCATTCTAACAAATGGAGGTACAGATCAAGATTCTGAGCAACAGGACTGCTCAAAAGTAAGTTCCTGCGTGTGAAGGTCACAAGGGGTCAACAACATGACCTCAGTTGACCCCTCGTTGACCCTATGGCGTTAACATACCTTATCAGGTTTTAATGCTATGTGATGTGACCTAGGACATGTGTTTAGGTTAACTCAATCTGGACGCCACAGGAAACCGATAAAATGCACTAAAAAAAGTACATTCCGAACGGAAATTGAATGCTCTTTAAGGAACTGGGCTCAGAATTTGGATAGCGTCTTTAGTTTTTTCTCTATTTTGAAATGAAATCGAAAAAAATGTCAAATTTTTACAAAATTTCAACATTAACTTACTTTAACATAGATTTATGACGTTATTTTTACACGCAAATATGCAAAACCGGATATCATTCGAAAACTTGTGGCATAGCATTTTCAGATCAAAACAAATGCCCATTTCGATTATGATAGGACCCAATGAATAAGAAAAATTCGGTCGCTTTCCAGGAACAGAAAATCTTTCATTTTTTGTTGCATAGTGTTATCTATACATAATATGATCGGTAGAATAAATAAAGTTAATTGAACAAAAATACCGTCGACAACCAAACAGAGGAAAACAACCAAAAATTTAAACACGTTATGCACATACTCTGGTGAAAACAAATGCACACAATGAGGACTGCTCCATCTAAACAACCCAGCAGAACCGGCAGCAAAGCAATCGCGTCGACGGCTCATCAGACCTAGCGGAGCGCCGCGACGCCTGCAGCTTAACCCTCGCCCTGGCAGGGCATTTTTCATAACACGGCCTGGCAGGGGGGGGGGTCGATGCGACCCCCCCCCCTCGCGATTGGCTCCTATGGTACCTAGAAACACCAAATTTGGTAGGTAGGTGGGCCCCATGGAGTTCTCGCCCCTGTGCAAATTTGGTTGCTCTGGGTCAATATTTAGGGGGTTTTTGGGGGGTATAAATGTAAAAATTTCGCTAAAAACAGGTCAAAAGTTTTTCGCTTATAACTTTTGATCTAATTAAGATAGAGCAAAAAGAAAAGCACCAGTGAACTCAGCACGTCAAGGCGCGTCGAATGATATACTTTTTAGCTTGCTTAAGTGTACTTAAAGTTTTTCTTAAATTTTAAGTAAACTTAAATTAATAAATTAAGTTAAAGTTGACCAAATTGCATCATATTGCATATCATTCAATTCGGCTGATCACCAGGAACACAATGATACCATTTTTGAAGCTCTAGCGTCATTATGTGCCAAGTTATTGGCAAAAACGTCATTTGACCTCAGTTGACCTCATTTGACCTGACCCATGGATAAGTACACCAAACAAAGAAGCACCAAGTGACCTGCTGTTAAGTACTGTGGTTTCAAAGCACAAAAGTGATAAAACGAAGCGGATATCTCCAGTATTTTCCGAATTTAGTATTTTCCCATAGGCTTAACATTACGACGTAATGACCTCTAACTGACCTCAGGTCGGTGACCTCAAAAAACCCGAACTATATGTTATACAACTCGGTGAACTTAGCACATCCTGAAAGTTTGAAGGAAATCAGTGCAAAACTGTGAGTTGGACAGGTGCAAAAAGAAAATTGAAATTTGACCATGACCTTGTACCGGTTTTTCTGACCTGGTGACCTGACCCAAGGTCACCCGGACCTGAAATTTTCAGGTCATATGTAAAAAGGTTGCCCCATAGGCTGCGCCAAATTTGGCGGCGCTGCGCGCCGCCGTTTTTACGCTATCTTCGAAAAACCTTAGGGGGGGTCGCATCGACCCCCCCCCCCTGCCAGGGCGAGGGTTAAACGTACGCTTAAGGGTGCGATGTTAATGTTAAGTCAATGGGAGGTGAAAAACCGCAATATCTTGAAAACCGATAGAGATATTAGCCTCAAATTTGGCATGTACCTGCTCCATGGGTATACAAAGCCTACTTTGGACAAGCTGTTTGATTCCGTGCAATATTCACGTTGATATTGCACGATAAAGGTGGAAAAACTGAAAAGTTTGAGCCGAAATTCATTAAATGTCATTCAAACTAGGTGCACAAAATGAATGGCACCCGCATCTCCTCAAAGTGGACAACAATTCTATGTACTCCGATTTTCCATTTTCTTTTTGCAATGTTGCAAAAAATGAAAGTAAAACTTTGCTCATCTTTCATTTTTTGTGTGAGGCATAAAACAAAAAACCGGCTACATAGAAATGTGCACAGAACATTTCTTCACACGAAAATGAAGTTTACTTTTCAGAAATATCTGAACTGTGACTGGAATTAAGCCCGATTCATATCCACTTTTTGACGGTTTTGTTGGTTCAAGGGAGTGCCGCTAGATGTCGTATGGGTCTCCGCCTCGGTCCCTGTCGCTCCCCCATGTAATAAAACCCGCGAGTCGAGCCGACCGGCGGGGAGGGACTGTCAACACACGGTGATTTACGGTCTGGGGTTCCCGCATGTGCTGGTGGCCGTGAAACTCTGCTGGAACAGAAGCGAACTCGGGATTGTCGGAGGAAATTACGGATGGTGGGTGGATTGAATGAGATTAGTGGATTTTATATAAGTTGTAGGTATATCGATACACAGGTTACCTACTACCAACCTTGGCGCCTATACTTTACCTTCTCCCCGAAATAAACATGGGTATTGCATATGAACTGTGATGGCATGCTTGAATTTGATTGTGGCCAGTCTGTCTATACGTCAGTAATATTGCAGTCGCATAGTACCTACTCTGAACTCTGAAGCTGCATTTGTATAGCAATCACAATTCACAACACGTCGGCAAATAATGTGGTATCGGTATATAGCAACCACATGGTGAAGCTCAAGACCAAGAAGGAACAACCAGTACTACTATGTATTGTAATACTCACAGAAAGTAATAAAACAGTGCGTCAGTAGTTGTACATCAGCGATGCATCACACATAAATCCCCAGTTTGGCGTCTGCTCTGCTGACACAGTGCAGAGGCGAAGCCAATGAAAACATACCAGTACCTATAACCGGTACATAATATTGCTTCCATGGTATCATTGACATATTGCATTCGTACATGACACGAAACTGACACAGAACAAGGAGCACAAAATGAGATCGGCATGATGCTGAGCGAATGCTTCAGTTTTGACACGACTGCTGAAATTACCTTAGCTGATGCGTGGTCGACATCTGAGCCAATGATGATATGTTACATCGAAGTCTCATTCACTGTTGTGAGTCGCTCCCTTTTTTACCCTTTTTGCCATGATGGGATGAGTGACAAAATAAAGTTTCAGCTTGTTAGATGTGTGGCAGGGCTAGTCGCCTATCATGTATGTTTTTACATTTAAAGACATAATGTGGAGATGAATTGTGAATTAAAATGAAATCGGACTTACTCCACAAGAGTTCGTTGGGTCGAAGCTTTCGAATTGTATTACAATTCTTCGTCAGCGAGAGTCGTATCGGATGTTAAGATCGAATCGAAGGTACAGTGCGGATCGAACAAATATGGGTCGGACAGGAGGGTCCCTGAGGCAACTAGTTGGTCTTGAAATAAACATACAAACACTGGGAAACACGTGAATAATAACAGGACGCACACTTACTAGAAAAAGCCTGTAAAATGGGTAGGTATAAAACACACTAGTAAAATATCTAATACAAAAATATAGGCAGGTAGGTAAAAATACAGTTAATGACATGTTAATGACAGTTAATGACAGTTAAAACTAGACTAAGATATAAAATATCAAAATGATAAAATCTATAAATGAACTTTTAACGGCAGAAACGGCGAATAATGGGGAGCCACCTGTCTTGCAGCAGGGCACCAGAGTTGCGGTTCACATTCGCGTCATTGGGTGACACTAGGACGGCTTCCCGCCGTCCCACGGTACGAATGTAAGCCGATTCGAGAAGGAGTCTCATCTGGTGGTGGCAGGCACGGTTCAGGATTTTGGCGTCGTCGAAGGCCGGCGTGCAGTCCCGGTGCGTGCTGAACGCTGAAGCGTTGGCTCTGGAGCGGACCGAGCCAGCCCAGCTCTCTCGGTGCTCGCGGACTCTGGTTCCAAGTTCTCGGTCCGTTTCTCCGATGTAGACGACCGGGTCACCCTCTACCCGGCAGGAGCACTCGATGCAGTAGATGACATTGCTTTCCTGCTGCTTGGGTAGACGGTGCTTGGCTTGGCTACAGAGGAGGGTCCCGATGGTCTGCGACGGCTTCGACACGAGCTGAATGCCGATCTTGTTGGCTTCTCGCTTCAGTTGGTAGAAGCAGGGACCAGCGAACGGAACCGAGAGCCGGACGGGTGCAGGCAGCGGGCTGGGGTTCGGTGGCGACGGCAGAGCCCTGGCCTTCAGCTGGAGGTCCTTTTCTGTTCTTGATGGATCTGCCCAGCTCACCGGGGTGTTGACTACGAGCTCACAAAACATCTGACAGCCTGTCTAAAAGTTCTCCCACGGCCTCCACACTCCATCAGTTCTCCGATGGAAGTCCTGGATCTGCTGCAGAGCATGGGTCACGCCACCAACAGCTGCCGCCTCATCTCGCTGGATGTGGAGGCCATGTTCCCATCTATACCTACCCAGTCGGCCATCTCTCTCATTCGAACCATGCTGAATGAAAACCAAGACGCCCTCTCTGACGTAACCTGCCTGAGGCCAGATGCAGTGGCTGACCTTCTCTGCATCTCCATCAAGAACTGCCATGCTGTCGTCCAGGACGGCGACCGAGAGAGATGGTTCAGGCAGACTGCTGGCCTAGCCATGGGTAAAAGTTACTCGCCAGTTGTCGCGGACTTGTACATGGGACACTGGGAACGTGACTTGGAACTACTGGCAGCCAACTGTGGAGGGAGAATTTATTCATTCTGCAGATATGCTGATGACTACCTGGTCCTCTTCGAAGGCAGCAACACCATCCTCAATGCATGGGTGGAGCTGCTCAACAACAAGGACCAGAACATCAAAGTCACTACTGAGATCGAAGAAAATCGACGACTGCCCTACCTAGACATCATGATCACAAGACAGGACAACAAGTTCACTACAAATGTCTACCGGAAGGCATGCACCACTAACCAAGTACCGGCCTTCAACTCCTATACAGAGACGCGCTATCTGAGATCAGCCATCAGATCTGACTGCTTACGTGCCATCCGCTACTGCTCCTCCGTCAAAGACCGCCTGCAAGAACTTTATTTTATACGCAAGAAATTCCGCCGACACGGCTACCCTCTCTCGTTCATCAACCCGATCCTAAGAAGAACAGAAAAGGACCTCCAGCTGAAGGCCAGGGCTCTGCCGTCGCCACCGAACCCCAGCCCGCTGCCTGCACCCGTCCGGCTCTCGGTTCCGTTCGCTGGTCCCTGCTTCTACCAACTGAAGCGAGAAGCCAACAAGATCGGCATTCAGCTCGTGTCGAAGCCGTCGCAGACCATCGGGACCCTCCTCTGTAGCCAAGCCAAGCACCGTCTACCCAAGCAGCAGGAAAGCAATGTCATCTACTGCATCGAGTGCTCCTGCCGGGTAGAGGGTGACCCGGTCGTCTACATCGGAGAAACGGACCGAGAACTTGGAACCAGAGTCCGCGAGCACCGAGAGAGCTGGGCTGGCTCGGTCCGCTCCAGAGCCAACGCTTCAGCGTTCAGCACGCACCGGGACTGCACGCCGGCCTTCGACGACGCCAAAATCCTGAACCGTGCCTGCCACCACCAGATGAGACTCCTTCTCGAATCGGCCTACATTCGTACCGTGGGACGGCGGGAAGCCGTCCTAGTGTCACCCAATGACGCGAATGTGAACCGCAACTCTGGTGCCCTGCTGCAAGACAATTAGGGGCAAAAAGACGGAGAGTGGTCGCAATCACCCCCCCCCCCCTCGGCCGGGGTATACTCGTATGCAGAAAACCCAAAATTCCGTTGAGGGTTAAGCACTGAAGTAATATTATGATGCGAGAAGGTATAGGTCAAAACAAGTATGCACACGAGCGGGTGTGAATAAAACTGTGTTCGAGGTATGCCTTTTTATTATACATTCGATTTGCTTTAGTTATTGGTAAGAACAGATACAACCAAGAAGAGCGCCCCTGAAGAAAAGGTGGCGCACCGGATAGGTGCGATTTTAAGGTCTAAGGTCAGTCGGGGACCTCTAAGTTCGGATTAAGCGCTGCATGTTAGGGGTAAAAAATGGGGGGCAAAAAAGCATCCCGATTTTGGCAGCATCGTCATGCTTTGTCATGGCACTGATCCACTCCCTCGGCCGAAATATTACTACCCTTTTGTATGAGTTCTGGCATAATCCCGCACATTATGCTGCATGTTGTTTGCCATGAAAAAACAATGCATGTTCAGCTACGTTCTACGCAGTACGCACTAACCTAACCACCATCCCATCATCCACCACTAGCCACCATCCCGTTCTGTGCCCCCCTTCCACCCCACACGAATCAGCCGAGACACTAGTCAGTCGGGCTAGCGCTATCCTATCCTCCCTTCCTGACTGCACAGCGCTTAAACCCAGAGCCGAGACTTCCCGAGCGCGACCTCTGACCCCACGCGGTCCGAAGGGTCGGCCGATGCCTAAGGGCGCGCCGCGCGCCGGCCACCCGGATAGCCTCTGCCGAGTCTCCCTTTCATACACCGTTTACTACGCGCTCGATTCATTCATGATTCTGTGTTTCTGCGTTCCTCTCGTTAGATGGCTCTACTGATGTCATAGGCGATCTCAGGAAGATTGCGGCCAGAATACCCCAAACGGCAGAAAATGAGGTTTTTGGTGAATATCTCGGAAAGTATTTGGCATACAACAATGCAATTTCACAGTCTCGTGGTAAATGTGCATACACATAATTCGGGTTGATACTTATGCATTTGAACATTATATAGGACCAGATATGTCCGAAAAAGCAAAACCAACAAGACTTTTACTGGAGAGCCGTACAGTCCACAACAGAAGTAATGTAGGGTTTCAGTCATGGGTATGTTCTGCTTCTGAAGCTCAGGAACGATTAGCCAGGCTACAATGAAACTTTGAATGTAGCTTATATGTATCGTCACCCTTGCAGCTGCAATTTTAGCTATTGACATCTTCTTTTCGATCACTCCGCATTAAACAATCGCCAGTCAAAGCCAATCGTTGAGATTGGTAAAACCCTACATTACTTTAGCGGTGGGCTTGTACCTACACCAGGCTAAGGACGGCGCTGGCCGCTGGGAAGGCCTGTCGAGAGACGTGTTCCTTCCGCGCGGTGTTTACACACCATGATCTCCCTCAGTCGGCGCCGCCCGCCGCGCCGGCGCTGTAACCAAACGTCGTTATCGTAAGGGCCGTGAAATGAGGAGGGGGAGAAGGTCATTAACGTGGGAAAAAAGCGCTCTACCCTGGTGACATCTACTGGCTGAGAATCGGAGTAGTAGTGCTCGAACACCAAACGCTGAGCGGAGCCACCTCCGAAGTTAACGCACCCTTAAATATGGGAAGCCTAAGATGTTTAATGAAAAATAAATGCCAGAACCGTGTTCCTGGTCATCCAATCTATAAAGTCGGGCACAATTTAACTGGTTTTAACAAAATTTTAGAAGGTGGGATAGTCCCTTTAAGTGGTTGTATATATGGCTTTAGGCCGAAGGCCTCAAGCCTGATCCGCAACGCATACCTACACAAGCCCTTGCAAGGGGTTTAAGGGACCCTCCCACCTTAACATTAGTTTTGAGTTGAGATAGCCAAGTTTGCGGCCAGGCTCAGAAACCACCATTTATCCTGGTCGCAACCCCCGCAGCTTTATGGTGTTCAAGAAATTTCTTCCCTTTACTTGCAAGGTGGGACCAGCGTGGTCCCTATCTCTTAACCCTCGCACCGACGGGGGGGGGGGCGGATATCCCCCCCCTGAGGTTTTTCGCGAATAGCGGGAAAACCGCGGCGCGTAGAAATTTGGTATGACTATAGCCTCATCAATTTTACACATGGTGTGCAAGTTTGAACCTCCTACCTTTTAAGGTCAGGTCACCAGGTCACTTTGAATGACCCAACCTCAAGTCACTTTTTTGCAACTTTGTCACCGTGCCAGAGCTACAGTAGATGTCGGAGGCCTTTGAAAGTCGCAGGATGTTATTAGGTCATTAGTAGCTACAATTTGTATATCTCGGAATTTTGATATCGGTGACCTAAGGTCAGGTCAATTTCGCGACCTCCCCATTATAAGTCAATGGGGGAAAAATCAACTCCCTGTTTTTACCACTAAAACGGGTCGGAATGGCCCCATATACCATACATGACTTCATATACGATCAACCTTCACTACCTTGAGGTCTGTTTTGCTGTTGGGCAGCTGTGAGGTCATGTGACGTCATCAAAGGTCACCAAAGGTTTTTGGCCAATAACTCCGTACAGGAACAAGATACAGACGCGTGGATTGTCTCATTGTGTTCAGCTCGTCAAGACGCATTGAATGATATACATGATGACCTCGAGGTCACGTGACCTGAGGTCAACCTTTGACCTTGACCTTTCGAGGTCAACATATATATCATTCGATGCGGATTGACGAGAGGATCACGATGATGCCCTTAGTTTGTTCCTATCTTGACTAATTCGAAAGTTATTCGAGAAAAACTCTCTCCATATCTAGCGCCGCCATTTTTACTTTTTCGACCCCTGTGACGTCATCTTTGACCTGACCTGAAAATGACCTCAGTAAAAATTGTAGATCTTGGCCGTGCGTATCCGATGCCGCTTACCGCTTGTCGCTATCTTGCTTCGTTCTCGAGATCTCAAGGGGGGGCGGTCATCCGCCCCCCCCCCCCGTCGGTACGAAGTTGGCGCAGACCCCCGTCGGTGCGCGGGTTAACCATTACGGGAATCTGATGACGTCATCAGGCTTTCGAACGTCCGTTAAATGTTTGACTAAAACGTTTTGTATCACGCGGTGGTATATGCTGCTTTGCGCGCAACAAATGCCGCACTTTCAAATAAAGTCGCTAGGAACAGCGGAGATCCCAAAAAGTAAACACAAGTAAAATTCTAATATCTTGAAAACCGGTGAATATTTTTCGATGAAATTTGGTAGATATTCGTTTTTGCTCTTTCTGAACCGAGCGACATCACTTTCATGCCAATTCATTAACTTTTTGAAGGTGGGAGGGTCCCTTTAAGAAAGATGGGTAGGTAGGTACCTACATCAACAGAAAACATAAACAACGAACCAGAATAGAAGCACTAGCAGTGTAGACATCTAATGCCAAATCCTGAAGCATGGTTGTGGGACAGAAAAACAGACCCTGATGCTTTTCATTATCAATGTTAGGTATGGAAAATGAAACTGAAGTTGATGGACTGTCAAACAGAGATTGTCTAGTCAAAACTCTTGCTTCTTTCTTACCTTGCATATTTTCTGGGGTGTGATATGCCAGGCTTGAAGCAGCCTTCTGAGCAAGTCTCAAACTAATTTGATATGCAAGGCGTCAAAACACTAGTGAGCATCCAAGAAAGAAAAACATTCATTTATTTTGATTTTTCTAAATAATGATCTTCGCTCAAATCCCCCAGGACGTGCGAGCCACAATTGCCTCATTCAATCAAAATTTTACTTGAGTTTTTAATGACGTCAATAGCAAAGAAGTGGCTATAAATTGTTTTGTATCACTATAAAGTATAAACAGCCATAAAAATTATAATTAATAATTGATAATATTATACAGTTAACCCTATTAGTGGCAGGGGGGTTGTTTTTATCCACCCCTCAGGTTTTTCGGGAATATCTCCGAAACCGCTGAAGCTACGATGCTGAAATTTTCTGACTTTTCCTAAAACTAAATTGGGCACATTCCCTGAAAATTTCAAGTTCATAACTTTACCAGGGGCGGCTCCAGAGCACTGGGAATTGGGGGGTCCTATTCGTGAAGCGAGTCATTTGGGCGAAGATCACGATGCTGCACCAGTTTTACGAACAGTGAATGAAAGGTATCATGTGATAACATATACAAAGTTATTGTGCATCCTCTTTTGACACGTTTTTGCTATAATAGGCGGATCCAGGCGTCCAAAAAGGGGGGTTATTTTTTACCTGTATCTTTACCTGTATCTTATCTGTATTTTTATCTGTATCTGTATCTGTATCTGCATTAGTTTCACACAGGACATACAATGAATGCAGCTGAGGAGAAACCTCACATCCCCCTCACGCCACCACCGGGGCAGTGTGATCGCCCAAACGACGGTCCCCACTCCCACCGCAGTCACCCATCAGTGGATGGGCGGCAGGGAGGCCGGGCGCCCATCGCATGATCGAGCAGCAACTGAGGCAGGAGTCCGCCGGCGCCGGGATGAACCTGAGCCGGGCGGTAGCACGGTCCGTGGCAGCCTCCGCCGTGATCGGGAGCACGGCGCGCTCTCGCGGCATTCAGACGGCAGCATCACCGGCGCTTGAGGCGGGGCCGGCAGCACCCACGACCAGGGGAGCGTCAAGTCAGAGCAGGGCCATCATCTACAGCGGCCGACGTGGCATCCCACCGGCGTCGGCAGGGACCGAGGTCAGCGGAGGTCGAGGTTAGGCCACTCGCAGAGCGACTCGCACCGTCAGCAACGAGAGCCCAGACTAGGGCTAGATTAGGGCTAAAAGGAAGATGTTTTGGAATTTTAACAACAGTGTTATTGAGGATGAAGCTTTTGTTCGGTTAATCAAGATGGAAGTACGAAAGATGAAGGATCAATATGTGATACCGATATATTCCAGTGAAAATATAAGAAGTTGCGGGGATATTCAGTTCACTATCAGTGATCAGCTGTGCTATGCTCAAAGGAAACAACGGTTGTACACACCCCTTCCGGTCTGTCGAATC